ATACACAAGGCCCTAGGTCAATCCTCAACATTATCAAAACAAACTAAACCCCTAATATTTTGCTGACTCTTTCAAGGAGCCACACCCATCCTAGAGCACATACTACTGTCCTTCTCTTTTTAAAGAATATTTTTACTGATTGAGAATTTTATACAATGTATTCTGATCATATTCAGACTCCCTTGCCCATGCCCATCCCAACAGCACAACCATTCCTCTCAACTTCATGTCGTCTAGTATTATTTGTCGTTTTTTATTTTTGAAAGGTCTATTGAATATGATGTGTATTTCCAAAATGTTCCTGGGTATAGGTTTATCCCTTGGCATTTGGTCAGCTTACCCGGCAACACACCAGTAAGGAAAACTGACTCAGTAGTTATCAGTTGCCAACAGATCCTCAGCTAGAGCTGGGGCTTCTATTTTATTTTTTAAATTTTATTTATTATTTTTATTTTATGTGTATGCGTGTATTGCCTGCATGTAGGTAAGTGCACCTGTGTCGTGAAATGCCCATGGAGGACAGAAGAGGCTGTCAGATCCCCTGAGACTGGAGTGACGGACAGTTAGCTGCCATGTGGGTGCTGGGATTCAAACCCAGGTCTTCTGTAAGAACAACCAGTGTTCTTAACCACTGAGCTGTGGTAACTGGCTGTGGCGGCTCTCCTCTGGCTATGGCTGCTCTCCTGCTCTCTTAGTTCCTCCAATCAGTAGTCTGGTCTGGACCCCAGGGCTGGTGGAGTCTGCACCAGCTTCACCGCATTCAGATGCAGGAGACCAGGTTCAGTGACACAGATCTGCTTTATTGCAGGAAGGCACAAGCTTATATAGGGGTAGTGGTCCAATCACAGCACAGCAAGTAGGATGCCTCATTAGCATACTGGGTTTCATTACAGAGCCTGGATTCCTGGAAACCACGTGACCTTGACTGTTGCAATATCTAAGTGTTGCAATTGTGAATTCCAAGGGTGGTGATTAGGGAGTGGCAAGCTCTAGGCATCAGTCTCATGATCTGCCAATGGGAGCAAATGTCATAAGGCATTTCTTGTGGCTCCAGCAGTCTGGCCATTGCCTCGGACCTGCTCTATGGCTGTCAATAAGACTTTCACCCTAGGCTCAAGCCTGTCTCCCACACTGAGCCATCTCTCCAGCCCCTAGATCTGGGGCTTCTTGCCAACCTCCCCAGTCCATGCAGGGTTTTTGTCTGGATTTGGTTTTCACAGGTCTTGTGCAGGCTGTCATAAGTGCTATGGGTTCATATGTACAACTGCTCTGTGCTGTCCAGACAACAGTTTCCTTATATTCATTTCCCACCTCTGGCTCCTACAATGTTTCCACCCGCTCTTCTGCAATGATCCCTAGGCCTTGGGAGTGTGATAAAGGTGTCCCTTCTGTGATGGGAGTTGAAAGATGTACTGTGTTTTTCTCACACCTGTCTCTCCCCTTCTCTTAATGCTTGTGCTTAGAGCTACCTTAAAAATCTACATTGGGGACTGGAGAGATGGCTCAGCAGTTAAGAGCACTGGCTGTTCTTTCAAAGGACCCAGGTTCGGTTCCCAGCTCCCACATGGTGGATAACAACCATAACTCTGGGTTCTAGGGGATCTGATGCCCTCTTCTGACTTCCACAGGCATTGGATGACATGGGTGCACTTGTATACATTCAGGTAATTCATACACATAAAATAAAAATAATAAATATTTTTAAAACTACATTAAAACCTTCCCTTAATAAACTCTAACTTTGCTTCATTAAAAAAAAGAGAAAAAAATTTGTTTCCTGTTCCATGAAACATCAACTTAATCTCCAATTACACTCTGGTTAATCTCTAGTTATTGTTAGGATTCTCGTTCCAATGGAACAATAAACAAGTAAAGTTCTAAAATCTCTTTGCCAGCTTTAAGTATTCAAAAGTAAATGTACAAATAAAACATCTGAATCTGAGAGAACACCAGAACACCAGAATAAACCCTCCACCTCACTTGCTTTTTACTTACTAGCTTTTCTCTGCAATTGTGGAGGTCAGGCACATGGTCTCCTCTAACAAGTGGATTGTAATGGTAATGGTGTTTTTCAGGAACTTAGGGGTTGCTTTTGTCCACCTCAAACCAATGAAAGCCTCTGACCCCTTACTTGGGTTTGCACAAGTGTCCAAGGAGTGACAGTCTGACATTAGAAAGCTAAAAGTCCACCCTCAGAGCATGCTAACAGTACCGAATCTCCTCAACATGCACCCTATGAAGAGCCTTGAGATCTGATGGCATAAGTGCAGAATACCTATCCTCCAATTTTGCTTCCTTTCAATCACCTTGGACCACTCTGCTTCCTCATCCATAAAAATTGCACATGCTATGCTGAGAGAGGTAGATCTGAGGCTAGTTCCCCATATGATTAGCTGTTTGTAGATAAACTTTTCCTCCTTTGCAAAACTTGTTTCAGTGATTGGCATACTACAGGTCCCATCCAGTAATAGGAATAGTTTATAATCACTTGTATTGTTGCATTTTTTAATATGTATAATTAACAAAGAATTGTTTCAAGCACTATAGACTCAAAAGTTCTATTTAACCAGAGCTTTTCCATTATACTATGTAAAACCATGAACAAAGTTCACTAATCTAGTTCTATGTATATACTCCAGAAATATCTTACAACTCACTGCTTTAACAGTAATTGGTTTCTATATTAATAGTATATATACTTACTGGAAAAGTACTCCTAATTATTACTATTTTTTTTACAATAAAAAAATAGGCCTTAACCTAAGGCCTCTCACATGGTAAATAAGTGCTCTACCACTGAGCTACATCCATCTCCAGCCCTCTTTTCACTTTTCCTTTTGAGATAGGGCCTCAGTAAGTTGCTCAAGCTGAACTTAAACTCACTCTGTAGCCTAGGCAAGCTTCAAACCTGTGATCCTCCTGACTAGTAGCTAACATTACAGGCCTTTGCCACCAGGTCAAGCAACAAATAAGCAAAAGATTTTATTAGTTTCCTCACCCTTTTTTTTTTTTTTAAACTGTGTGTGTTACAGCTATTTTTCAATACCAAGTTAAAGTTACAGATTATCCAGCTACTACATCTTATGATACCTTGAGCAAACAGAGAGAGACATGAGTATGAAACTTCTGAAATAATGTGAATAAATCCCTAAAGTATTAGTATCTGATGACACATTATTAAGTCAACCCGTAATTAGATATGATCATACAAACTGACAAATAAGAAGGAAATGAAGCTGGTTGCCCTCATTTCCCAGCCTCTTCCCCTGCCACTTTGGGGCCATATATTCCTCTATGCTCCTGATTAAACACACTCTCTGCTGGTTTGAGCCCTTGCATTTAGTTGTATGGTACAGTCCCCTCCTGAGTGACAACCTGCTGTCTTCCCTGCCCCAAGCTTTGCCCCTCTGGCCTAGGTAACGTTCAGTACCCCTAGCTTCTGCTACACACCAGTTAAGTTCCTATTCTACCCTCCCATCTCAGATCTTGTTATCGCAGCTAGCTGCTCTGCCTTCAACATTCCTTATCCACAATCTCTTTCATTTTCAGGTTGCTTTTGCTTTAAATGCCCCACTTCACAGGTACCTCAACCCAGCAACAGCTTTACTTTCTCCAGCAGCCCTGTCCTCCAACATTCCATCATCCCAATTGGCTTTCACTGTCTATTGCAATCATACTATTGCCAGTATCCAAAATGCCTTTGAGCCTGTCTTTTTCGATTATATTGCCTGGCAAAAGTAAATGAATCCAATTATCTATCTCTTTTATCTATGCTTATGTCTGTGCACAGCCCTGCTGGGAAAAGGCAGGCAATAGCAGAACAGTTACATTTAAGAAACCATTTTCATCAATTTGAAATTGACTCAGTACTGCTTTGGTATTTCTAGTCAAGTTACACATACACAAGATTATTAAAACTTCTCGATCACTGTAAAACCTCCACTCTCAGAAGATGACCTTCCTGCTACCTTACCTTAAAGAGGAATTAAAGCTGTCAGAAGGGAGCAAGTACATGCACTCCTACACAGACACCAGGGCATGCCTTTCTCTTCCAGTTGAACACTATTCTTTTTTTCTCTTGACCTAGTTAATGCCTCTTCTCTCAGGTGGAGGCTAATTCATCCCGTCTTCAGGGCAAGCTTTTCTTCCATTATGAGCTCTTGGCATCATCTACCCTGTACCAGTAGCTCTATGTTACCCCAGCATTACCTCCATCACACTGGTGGCTCTGTGAAAGCAGAATTGCCTGTACGATGGCCTTGGTACATTAAAACTGTCAAAAATACATATTAAGTGACTAAATGGACAAGGATTCCTTTTTATTAAATGACATACTAACTTCCTAGAATAATGTCATAGTCTACTATGTTGCTGGATACTGCCACAACCATAACACAACTAAACCTTTCTACTGATACACTCAGGGTCTTCTTGGGCAATTATTCTGCCCCCTATATGTCCATTCATACATATACAATGTGTTGACCAGTCAGTGTAATTTGATTAGGAAGCAAAGATCTGTAAGGACACTGATATTTCCTTGCCTGAGTTTCTCACAAGTCCACCTGACTCTTGCACCACAACAAAACTAATTTCTGAATGAAGCCTTTTGGTCCTATTGCTATATATTAATTTGTAGTTCTTATATATTGTCCAAGGAGCTGACTCTATCAAAGTGAGAGGATGGCAGTTTGATCTGCATGCTCCTTTCTCTATGTCACCCAGGAACTAAGATGAGACTTTAATACATAGTTCACACAAGGAAATCAGGAGCCTGATACACTGATTCACTCTCAGTGTATCAGGAGATATACACTATTGGTTCCTCAAGGCAAGTAAGGAAGAAGCTATGTGGAATCTGAGGTCAAGGAACAGTAGCTCAGGCATAGCAGGCTGTCAGAGCATAACACATCTCTCCTCTGGGCAAAGTGAAAGCACAGCTCACTAATACCGTTTATGAGGAAATAGGTGGTCCAGTGTGTTTCATAAGCACATCATACCTTCACTAAATTCAAGATGATGATGGGAGAGCCAAACCTCTGAAGCATCTGGTCAAAGTGAAGAGCAGCCACATGTGCAAATGGATCTGCCTGGTCCACTGAGAAGGAAAAATAGGTAAATAAAAACCTGAATGAACCTATGAGGCAGAAATAAAAGAAGTGTAAGGTTTTCAAAAATGTCAAAAGAAAAACAATTCAACTCATCTAGTACTTTTACTTCCCAAATCTCTCTCAAGGACCTCACTAGACATTCATTCAGCATATGTTTATTAAATTTGAATGATTTTTCTATTTCTGAAGCAAAATGTAAGTAATTTGCTAACAGTTAAAATTAAGGATGAGTTCATTGTATAAAGTTAATAGACGTTATTCTTCTTAATGCTCTAGCTCACAGGACTAAAACCTCATTAACACCCAACCATTTATTAGGTTTCCATGACAGGAAGTCATCATCTCTAAATGACAATTGAAAGGAGTGAGCAATGAAAGGCTGTTGCACACACACGTAATAGGCGGCTTTGGTATCATAGTTGAGATGTCCTGGGACCAATACAAAGGAACAGATCCCCTAACTTGCACGTAAGAAGAATAACTGCCAGCAGTAAAAGACATCACAGAAGCATCGCAGAGTATCTGCTCCGTCTCCACTTCATTTGCAACGTCACCCTGGAAAGAAAGGTGAGATCAAAGATATTTCGGGTTCTTAGAACATTTTAATGAAAAAATGAAATACACAATAAAATGATAACTCCTATTCTTTATATGTCTTAAAATAGGTAGATGCTGTCAATATTCAGTGTTCACATTGAAAAAGCAGAAACATTAAAACATGACAAAGAAAAGCAATTAAAAGTATCAGAATAAAGAAGGAAAAATCAAATTAATTCATTAATAGCACAAATAATAGACAGTAAGTGGAAGGAAGACAGAGAAAAACAACTACACAAAAAGACCCAAAAGGAGATTCAGAAAACATCTGGTGGTCAAGAGGGGTTTGGAGGTAACTTTGCTATGAAAGCACATACGGATGTGATAAAGACTACTTTCAGAGGCACTCACAGTACTGGTTTGGTTATCCTTTCAATATTCAAAAGCAAATAATATGGCAGAAAATTCTATTTTTCCTTAAAGTACCAAATAAAATGACTTTCAGTGCTGATATAATTTTAAGAACAACATTGCTATTTAAAGTCAGGATCAAAGCCCAATGCCTCAATCAATCGGTCTATTCAATCACACATCTGTTCAAAACTCAAGTTGCCTACAGCAAGCAGAGTGGAGCACTCAAGAGCTGACATGGAGGATGGGGGCTGCCTTCTACCCACTTCTTGAGTGAGGTACTTCACTGGTTTTGTCCCTAATATTTTATTTCAGAAATGGCTCACCCTGTAAAACATTTCCCATTTCATCACTCATTGCATAACTCTAAGATAACTGACTGCTTAGAACATTTCTGTATTAGTCATTTTCTTTTTTCTTACACTAGTTTTATACTCTGGAGAATTATTTGTTCTATTGATAATATCCCAAACCAAGAAACTACTTTAAAAATGCCACAGCTTCAGGCTGGCAAGATGGCTCAGTGGGTAAGGGTATCTGTCACTAAGGCTGATAACCTGAGTTCAATCTCTGGAGCCCAATGGCAGAAGGAGAAACTGACTTCTAAAAGTTGTCCTCTGACCTCCACACATACATGCATGCATATATGCACCCCTTTCCCCCTAAACAAAATAAAATCTATAAAAATACAAAAAGTAATGAAAATTCCATAGCTTCATCTATGTCAGCAACACTGATATAAAAGGTTACAATGTTAGCAGCAAGGCTTTCTGTCATCTTACCTCACAGTTTGCACCTCTCTTCAGAAATCGGGTCCCAGCAAACTTACTGGATCTTCTAGCGATTAGAGTAACATACACTGGTCGTCCATAGATCAAGAGCTCTTAGAAATCAAGTTAAAGTTTTTTAGTATTCATGACTGTCACACAAAGCCCTAAGAACCACTATACTTTATGGATTAAATGCATCTTGTCCAATGGCTTTAAGACACGAAAAGCTCCACCCAAGAATGAAATGGCACTGGGCCTCATGGTTCTTCAGAATTCTGCTAGTATGATGGCAAAACCCAGTCTGCTCAAAGAGTAAGTTCTAGGAATTCCTAAGGAAATAATATACACATTACTGGGTCATGAGCCAAGGAAGGCCTGCCTCTCCTTGTAACCCAGTAAAAATGTAAAGAAGTACAACTAGTCCTTCCTCGGTCATCATTCATTACCTCTCAAAAAGAGCATGTGTCAAGGGTGGAGAGATGGCTTAGCAGTTAAGAGCACTGGCTGCTCTTGCAGAGGACCTGGGTTTGGTTTCCAACACCCACATGGCAGCTAACAACGAACTGGAACTCCAGTTTCAGGGGCTCTGACATCCTCTTCTAACCTCTGCTGGCACTGCATGACACAGGTACACTTACATACATGCAGGCAAAACACTCATACACATAAAATAAAAATAAATTAATTAAAAAATAAAAAGGTAAAAAAAACAGAGCTGTGTCATTTAATGCAGTTTAAATTATGAAGCAATATATAATACTGGGGGAAGAACGGGAATGCTTCAAAAGCAGTCCAAATCTAAACACTGAACGAGTCACCATGAATGGCTTGATGAATATATAGCTGATTATTTAGTCACCTTATTTAACTTTCTAAGCCAAAAGCTCATCTACCAAAAAAATGAATTAGCAGCTGTAGGTTGAACAACAATGATCCAAAAATCTAAAATTCAAAATGCTTTGAAATCTGAAATAATTTGAGTGCCAATATGAACCAAAATTGAAAATTTCTACACTATCTTCTTTGTGATAGTTCAATCAAAATGTAGACACACTAAAATATTGCATAATTGACCTTCAGGCCTATTATTTAGTGTATATGAAACAAATGAACCTTGTGTTTATCACTGGATCCTATATGTAAGTCAGCTCAGTTTATGCAAATATTCCAAAATCCCCCAAAAGTCCAAATTCTGAAACAATTCTGGTCAGAAGCATTTTGGATAAGAGATAATCAACCTATACTGTTGTTAGGTGGTTAGGAGGATGAGTTGAGGTAATCCCTGTAAACTTCTAGTGTCAAGCTTGCAGTAAATAAACAGCAATTAATCTTATCACACAGACTTCCAGAACTCATTAAATGCTTGATCACCAAGAGACCAGAGTCATTGCTTAAACTAATGAGCTCGAAAATGATAATCTATGATGCTGTTCACTATTTTAAAAACAAACAAACATTTACTATGATTAAGATATGCCAGGCCCTGAGCTAGCTCTTAGAAATACAAACCAGGCTAGAGCTACATTTTAGAAATGATCCTTAGACACTGTAGCACATTCTTTTTGTTATTTCTCGTGATTAAAAATTCATGTTCTTATTGATAGGGTTCAGATCCAGATGACCCCAGACCCAGAAACCATAAGGCCTCTAACAGGAACTGAGTCAACCAACTCCCAGCCACCTACAAGTTAACAAAAGCAGCTCTGGGAAAATTAATGACCAATGTATTGTGATCACCAGAGAATGCTCCACAGGCTGACAAACAGGTTTCCCAAGCCCTTAGCTGCAATTAGTTCTTGGAACCCGGTAATTGTAGAAAACATGTTTTACAGTAGATGTTTTCCTTGATAAGTTTCACCAGGTACAGACCCCATACCCTCCCTGAGCAAGCGGCCCCCAAGTCAGTCCCAAGCAGCAGAAAAATATTCTCTTTTTCTGCATTCTGTCCCTTTATAAGCTACCCCCCTGCAGCCATTAGGCTGCTGGTTCTTCCTCACACCTGAGTTGAGGACCAGCCCCGCCAAACCTAATTAAATTTTCGCTTTGCTAGAGTCCTCTTTGTTTCTGTTTTGCGGTGATCCCGACCCCTGCCACCTTTTTATCTAACACTTATTAAGAAGATTTTATTTTTGGAAACAAAAGTGGTCTTTGTTGTGTAGTGAATACTCAGCCAACAGCAGTTCCTGGTTAAAGTGATTATAAAGTAATGAGCCAGATGTTCAGGGTGGTACATCAGCCTCCCCGTCTCTATTTCAAAATCCCTGTGTCTGCACCCAGCCTCTCCTGCAAGAATCTCAAAGACAGCAGCCCTGGCGTTCTTCAGGCAGTGCTCTAGTATGCCTCTGGACTCCAACTGCTCGCTCCAGTGGCATAAGAAGGCACGATGCCAGCAAGTCACACCTACCCACTTCATAGCCTCAAAGCTGCCACTTTAAAGTTTTGCTACAGATCTTTAAAAGTTCAAGATGGAAGGAAAAAACTGTCAACTAAAACCATACTAAGATCCTAAGTGCCATCCATTAACTCAAACAGTGACAAGAAAAATCTACAGTCGCTGCTAGAAAGTATATACTGCCTTCCTCAGCACAGTGGTGCCTTCTTGAAAGGCTTCACCATTAGCTTGATTAAATGAAAAGTGAACCTGCGGAAGAAAAGCCAAGTTGTCATCAACTTGAGTTCATCGGCCTAACTCAAGGATCAATCTACTTCTATTATGCTCCTTTCTAGTCCAGCCCCCACTGTGTTACGCCTAAACTACTGCTGCAGGCTTTCTCTAACTCAATTATGTCCCTTGTCCCCATCTCACTTTACTTCATACACCTTGAAAATGGCTGTCAACTCGAACTTTGTGAGCATTATTTTGTACCTGTCACATTCCTGAACGAAACTTTCAAAAGTTTCACTTCAGACCCAAGTCCTTAGCCTGACTACCAAAGCAATCTGGGGACTGACAATCTGGCTCCCACTCAGATTGTTCCCTGGAGTTGTATGCTCAAGTCATGAGGACACGGCTGTTTCTCCAGCTACTCCATCATGGTGCTGGTCCACACTGTGCCTTCTCTCTGTGCTCATTGCTTAGGCCTGAATTTTGCTTATGGCCTAGGTCAAGTTCTATTCCCTTGAGCCTGCACATTGACTACCTGTCAGACAGCCTGCTCTCTCCTCATTGGTTATGTCTCTTACTATGCACATAGCACTCTCTTCCTTGTTATTTACTCATCTTTCTGTGCACATAACAGCCTATTCAAATAGTGTTAACTCTTCAATGCACATCTTCTTACATGGGGTAAGTTTTCCTGTTGGGGTACACAGAGTCACAATTATGCATATTAAATTTGTACAAAAAGGATACTTGACTGCCCACAGAACCCATGAATAATATATAACAGCCAGTCACGGTGCACAGTGTTTTTAATTATATCCAGAAGTTCACCGTTCCACACGTACTTCATATAAGGCTCACTAGAGATCCCAAAGACACCTGAAAAACAAAAGTCAGTAACAGGAAGATACATCCAACACATTTTTATCCTTCTACTTCTTTTAACTTCAGAGTGCAAGCCTAGTTAAGAGCATTGCCATCTTCAGTGGACATCATCCATGGTGGCACTCAGAGCACTGTGCTGCTTCCTTCAAAGTCAAGGAAGAAATGAATCTTCTGACTTCGGAGAGTTTTTAATTTAAGAGACAAGAAAATGAGAGGGAAATGAAGAACACATGGACCAATACATGAATGAAGCCAAGCGTGGCAGAGTGAGCCATTGAGAACACAGTTTGGGGTCATAGCACCTAGGCCCAGGGCATCCTGGCGCTGCCTCTTATCAACAGTATGACAGTCAGGATCCAGTGTGGCTTACTACTCAGTGCCTCTGTCTGCGCATCTCCATCTCCAAAATGTAGCTGTTATGGGGATGAAATAAACTAGTAACGTGCAGAAAGTGCTCGGAACAAACCTGGTATGTTGCTCACACTTCCGTGTGGCATCAGTTACTACATTGGGGCTTTTCCATTTGAGGAAATTAACATCAGCATATCAAGATAAATCTACTTATTAGATGGCAATGAGTTTTACAAAACTTATATGAGTAAAATAGAAATACGTATACATTAACGGCTTAAAAGACTATAACAGCTCTAGGTACCAGCAGTCAGCTAATCCCACTCCCTTTTTTAAAACTTCAAAATGTGATCTGAGTATTTATTGATATACTAGAGTGAATATATTCCAATTTAACTTAAAGAAATTAAATGTTCTCTGCCCTTTTTGAGTATGACAGAAAAGGAGGAGTTAAGAGCTGGAGATGTAGAACTTGGTATAGACTTGCCTGGTATGCACAAGGCACTAGGCTTGAGCCCCAGCAGGACATAACTAGGCATGGTAGAGCATGCCTATAATCCCAACTCTTGGGAAGCAGAAGGATCAAGAGTTCAAGGTCATCTTCAGTTCTGTAGAAAGTTTGAGGTCATCCTGGGCTACATGAGACCCTGCCATAGAAAGAGATGGGGGCGGCAGACACTCTCTAGCTCTGCCACCTTATACAAGTAACTTACTATCTCTGTTTCCTAAACTATAAAAGGGCAATACTACTACTCACCTCAGAGATGTTTAAAGAGCCTATGCAAAGTCATTTACACACTTCCTGATTCAGCTCTTCCACCTTCTATCCTCCCTGTTTCTGATCAGTTTCCCCAGATAGAATCATCTCCAAACCCAGGAAGGATGTCTGAATCCTAATCACCAGGACCTGGAAATATGTTGCATTGCATGACAAGGAGGAATAAAAATCCAGATAGAATCAAGGCTGCTAATCTGACTAGGCCACAAGGAGACTTCTGGCATATGCACAGGAGCCCAGTGCAACCCCAGGGTCTTTACAGGCAAAAAAGGAAAGCAGGAATGTGTAAAAACCAACTTCTAGCAAGATGGAAGATAGCCACCAACTAGGGACAATACCTAGAAAATGGAAAGATCAAGAAAATGGGTTTCCTCCTCTTAAAGCCTGGGGGAATGGGGCCCTGCTGATATGCCACATTAGCTCACTGAAACCCCCTCTAGATTTCTGCCTCTTGTGAGACAATGCATGTGTGTTGCTTTAAGACACTAACTTAATGGTAATTTGTTATAGCGATAATTGGAAAGTGCTATGCTCTTCATTCCTATCTACCTAGTAGAACTACTCTAGTGACAGCAAAAAAATTAAGTCCCCTCAGAGGCTTAATTCAGAACTCAGAACACACATGCAAATCCGAACTCAGGGTGGATTCAGCAACATTTTGGTGCTATCATCCTACTAACTGTGACGCTCAGAAGTGATGCAAGCAAATACTTAAGACACACTAGGTGCCTGTCCTCTTCCTGTTGACCCAGAGTTTAGATTACAGTTCAGGTGTCTGAACCACCATTCCGAGGAGAGCAAGGAAGCACCCAGCTTGGCTGAGCTCAAGTGATAATCAAGCAAACTCAGCAGAGTCAAGGCAATGCCAGGGGGAATACTGAGCTGAAGGAATAGGCTGTGTGGGTGAACTGGAACCTTTGGGAAGGCAATAATAAAACCCTGCCTCTTCCGGTGTGTTCTGCAAAGACAACTTTCTAGGTCCCTTTTAGACTGAATTCTGTTTCTCCACCCACATCTTTAAAACTATCATTTAAGTTGCATGAAGCAAAAGATTCAAAGCCATTGTTGGCTTACTACTTTTCCACAGTTGGCCTACTTCAGCTAAGGTATATTATACTTGGAATGATTCCTTTACAGCATTCACATTAGCATGCCTTTAGCTTTAGAATTTTAGGCCAAACCCAGAATCAGGAAATAATGGTACTGCTAAAGGGGCATAAAGGTACTGTGTGCCTGGTTTAGTTGGGATCTCTAGGGATACCCTAGACTAGTCACACTGTGGTCCTGCAGTGATCTGACACTTGCCCAATGTCTGACTTGCTTCACTGATGGCTCTGGAATACTGGCCAGTAGGATCTTCACCTCTGGGGCTCACTTTCCTACTTAGTTTTTAATGCTGTACAACTGGCATTTACCCAGCAAAGTATTTTTTTAATTGGTTTTTTTTTTTTTTTTGGTCTTTTTGAGACTGTCCTGGAACTCACTATGTAGACCAGGCTGGCCCTTGAACTCACAGAGATCCACCTGCCTCTGCCTCCCAAGTGCCGGGATTAAAGGCATGTGCCACCACGCCCAGCTCCAGCAGAGTTTTTAATGTAGCTCAGAATATCATATGTAATATGTAATAGGCAACCCATAGTAATTTCTTCCCCAAACTTGGCTCATAACCAACTGATGTCTATGAAGAAAAATAAGATGGTGTACATTCTCCATATTCAAAGAAGAATAATCCATAAAACTTGACCAAAAGACTAAACTTGAATGTATTCTATTAAAAGTGCATGAATAATTTCTAGAAAATGAAAGCACATAATTTTTTGGCTGGTTTACAAGTAAAATCACATTGTGATTGTTATGAAAATGAGTTGGTCAAGTTCATGTATCTAAAACAACCTCATGTAAAGATGAAGATCACTGAAGGATAAAGAAATGAGAGTGAACTTAATGAGGTGCCACTTCATGGATGCCACATTAACATATAGTAAGTATGCTGAAACCACCTACCACCGCCACCCTGTGTAATTAATCCTTCATCTTCAAAGATGTCGAAACTCTCCTGGCGACTCTGGGCTGTCTCTGATTTTAACATCTCCAGGGGCATTCGCAAGACAGTGAGATTATACTGAAGTGAGTGGGACAAATCATAGCTATAACTGAGAAGAGAATTGAAACTTAAGAATTACTGAAGCAAAGCATGTTCCATGGTCTTGGTTCCCATAAGAAACTAAAATCTGTGAACTAAATTACTTAGCACCTGTTACTTTACTTGGAAGCAATGCTGTTAACTAAATACTGTAAAAAACAGCCAAATCTATACAATATTGGAAATTAAAGTAAAATACCTCACTACATGACTTACACGTTTGCATGTGGGTAACCTACACTCATTGATTTGTACTATTTGCATTTTTTGCTTCATGATGGTATTGACCAAACTCTATCGCCTTATGAAAAGGAATCACACTTGTGTATATGAATGTGGTTCTATAGACAATACAATAAAGTACAATATCTACTTCAACAGTGCGTGGTTCTGTACCATAGTTCCCACATGCACAAAAATAAGTTTTCTAAGAGAATTGGAATGGAGTAGAATAAGCATATAGCATAAGCCATTATGGAGAAACATGTTTTAGCAGAGTAAAAACCATATAAAATTGCAATAGTCTCTATGCAAACAAAATTTGGTTTTTAGGCCAAAAGAAACCTGATATTTTCTGATTTCATATGATCAGTAATTTTGTTAAACATCTCTAGCTACATATTTTTAACGTAAAAATTTAGAAGGTATCATGAACACTTCAGGACTTACACAAATCTGTAAATTATTTAAGTAATATTTTAAGTATTAAATTTCTCTTGGAATTATTATTATACATTAATTATTACATCTTTTTATTTCCATAATTTAACTAAAATTAATTTTGCTTTTGTCTGTGAAATTCAGTTTTACTACCTTTGGTTGACAGATCCATTTAATAGCACCTAATCTTGAAGGGAGAAAAGCTGTATTAGCTTTTTCTAGCTTGTTTCTAGCTGGGCATGGCAGTACATGCCTGCAATCCAAGCACATGGAAACTGAGGCAGGAGGATCACAAGTTCAAGCCACATCTGGGCTACATAGTAAAGCCCTATCTCAAAACAACAAAAAGCTGGTTTCTGACTTTTAACAATACATTCTTTCTAATTAAAACAGTTATTTTATTACAGCTGAGTCTTAAAGAGTGCAGTAGAATCTTCTTAAAAGGCCTCCTTATAAAGCACATTAATGTGGAGATGACTTCATTAAAATTCAGTAAAGACACAGACAAAATTTAAGAATGAAGCAGGACAGCACTATTTCCAACAGCGCCACCAAGCTTCAGTAACAACACACAGTTGCTACAAACATAAAACCAAAAACTTTATGAAAAGTAGACAACAGAGGCAAATACGATGGAAATACACATCCAATAAACACTTGTATAAGTGAAAATTACCAAGAACCATTTGTTATGACTATTAAAACAACTGATTTCAGATTTACATTATATATGTATTTATTCATTTCATAAAGAAATGGTTCACTGTTAACTAATATGTGTGTGTGTGTGTGTGTGTGTGTGTGTGTGTGTGTGTATTTTAATGTAAAGCAAGTCTGGCCTGGTGGCAAAAGCCTTTAACCCCAGCACTTGGGAGGCAGAGGCAGCAGGATCTCTGTGAGACTGAGGCCAGCCTGGTTTACACAGCAAGTTCCAGTTCAGCTGGAACTCAAAAACAAAAATCAAAGCTAGTTGATACATGCCTTTGATTCCAAAGCAGAGGTAGGCAGACTGCTGAGAAAGAGGCCAGCCTGAGATGGTCTACACAATAAGTTCCAGGCCAGCAGGGTCTACATAGTTAGACCCTGTCTCAAAAAAAAAACAAAGCAAAACAAAAAACAAAACAGAACACAACTAAGCACTCGGTCAATAGGTACAAATGCTGAAGCCCTCTCTGCCCGACTCAGGCCCATATTGGTGCATGCTATTTTGTGTTCTATTTTTCAGTCTAGACACTACAGCAGATAGACTCCTCCACCATAATAGCTTTCTACATGGCCCACATCTTGGTCACATCAATGGCAAACACTTTATCATAATGCTCTACCATAATCTGTTCAATTACCAACTTGGTTTTTACTGAGATAGTCATTTTGTTAAATAGATTTCTAAAAGAGATTTGGTATTGGGCTATTCTCTCCTAATACATTTTCTTAGGATGTATTTTCATATAAGCTTAATGCTACATCTATTCCAGCAAAACTACTGATTTACAATGCCACCAACCCACCAACAATACATTAGTATGGCAACAGTTTTCCCTACTTCTAATTTATCTTTACCTAATTTTCCCAGATAATTAGCTGAAACCGAACTGTGGCACTGCTACAGTGCTATACTAAAAGCTAATGCAATTTTTTTGTGTGTGTGAGACAGGGTCTCCCTATAGCCCCAGAAAGCCTGGAACTCACTATGTAGACCAGGCTGGCCTCAATCTCACAGAGATCCACCTACCTCTGCCTCCTGAGTGCTGAGATTAAAGGTATGCGCCACCATGAAATTATTCCTTTAACATATATTAAATCCTACCTAAAATAAAGATGATTTTTTAGTAGTGAGAATAAATATCTTTTTAACTTATCCATTTGAATTTTCAAGTATCAAGTTTTTAAAAGGAGGAAATGCCTGTATGTTCATTTTAGACAAAATAATCTGGTTATTATGCTCTGTTTTTATTATCTAAAAAAGTTTAAATGATATACAGAAGTAAAATTAAGTTCAAACCTACCTAAAGTAAAAATTGCTAGATAGATCCACATTTTGAAATATCCGTAGGTATCTAAAAAAGAAATTAAGAATATTATATTCGTACAATGTTACTATTTTTCAGTTTAGCATGTACTCAGAGATATACTTACATTAGTGAATATGCTCACTGAGCTGAGGAACTTGAGACATTTCTGGCATAGGTTATTTTATCTGTCAATCATCCCTCCAAGACCCTTAATTTGTTTGTTCTTCACCACCAATTATGCATCAAAATGGGTGGTACATAGACTGAGCAAGACAGCAGTAAAAGTTTTTGCTTTTACAGTGAGCTTTACAAACCCTTTGAGGATGAAAAGATGACAGTAACGAAAACTCACAAAATGCTTGTGGGTCACTGTAATTTTAAGTTGGAAAGATTTTTAACATGGGAACAAAAAAGGATGGAATAAAATATCCTCAAAGCTACCACTCAAGAATAATAGGGAATCAGAAGTAGGAATCAGGAATAACATTGCTTCATATGCACTCCATTGTCACACTTTAGATAAAGTAACTAAGACATAATTTTAAAGGTGAATAGCCCCTTTAGTGTGGCAGCCACTTTCTTGTTACTACTTGCATCCTCTGCCCATGGTGCCTTAACTTTTACCATGATGTTACAGACATCTTTAAGGAACATGTGGCTTATATTATACATTGAACATGTTTATGCAGATCATTTCAATCTTTGTTGTATGTTATGCTGCAAATCTCCTTTCTCACTTACTTTTGAAATGTAGCTACAGAGGCTAGAGAGATGGCTTAGCAGTTAAGAGCACTGGCTGTCTTGCAGAAGTCCCAGGTTCAAATCCCAGCACCCACATAGTTGTTAACAACTGCCCATAACTCCAGTTTCAGGGGATCTGACGGCCTCTTCTGAATTCCACAGACATTGCACAAACTTACACACATGCAGGCATAACACTCATACATATAAAAAATAAATAAATAAAAAGAAATGTAGCTACATTGAAAAGATTAACTTCTGGAATAGTTTTCTACATCACTGTATCATATGTGCCATGTCTTATGCATTCCTCAACTGAGGAATTAGGTTCTTTAGGTTCTTTCTAGTATTCCACCATAAAATTCAACACATAATCCCAGTACTTGGGAGGCTGAGGTAGGAGAGTCACTGTGAGTTCAAGGCCACCCTGGGCTATGTAGAACCTTGTCTCAGAAAAGAAATAATAATAAAGGAAGAAAAATTGAAAACAACATAGCCAAGAACATTTTTCTATCCACATGTCAGTTTCTCTAGACTTCATGTATAGAAGCTGAACTACTAGACTATAGATAATGTGCATTTCAGATTTACTAGACTAAGTCAAGCTGTATTTCTCAGGATCTAAAACAGCATCACTCCAACTCACAGTGCATGCACTCATTTATACTGATAGTGTGTAACTTGTCATATAAATTCAATTCCCACATTTCTGCTGGCATTTGATGACTGATGAGAATGAAACTCTATCTTTAAAATTTTTTAGTTCTTAAATTACCAGCAACACTTAGCATATCTTCTGTGAGCTGTCTGCCCCTAATGGAACAATTTCTCTGGTTGCTGCTCTTTCTCACTAACTAGCAGAAGCACCACCGATAACTTTTGGGTCAAAACCTTCTTACAGATGCTCGAATACCTACTTTCAAACTGTTGCTATCTCCTAAATATGTCCAGATTGTACAGATATTTTTAATTTTGAAAGCATTTACACATGTCATTGCTTTCCTTATGGCTTATGCTTTCTATATTTTATTTATGAAATCTCCCTCCATGCCAGGACCATAAAATTATTTTCCTTTATTTTCTTGAAATTGTCTTTGTACTTCTATAACTGTTTTCTCAATATTATCAGAGATTGGAATATAATTTTATTTTGGCCAAATGGAACCCACAATAGTCTTTTTCACAATGACTTGTAGTATTAACTATACTGTATTCCTGTTTCCTACATCAAATAGATCTTCTCCTGGACTTTCTCGTCTGTACGGTGATTGATGGCAAGCCCTCATCAAAAACAAGCAGTCTTTGATTGCTGCTGGGTGAGGGACAGTATGACTTACATACGACCACTTCATGGGCTGATGAGACTCCAGTGGACGCAATTACAGTGAAGGACATTTGGGTACAAACAGCTGAATGAATAGGATTCAGCATGTATGGCAGAGTGCATAGGGTTCAGTGGGGGGATGGGGGAGGCATGGATGGGGGAGGGGGTCTGGATTTGAGTAGAAAATGTATGAAATTTTAAAAGCTCAATTAAAAAAAAGGACAAGCAGTCTTACAATAGATTACTATCTGACTATATTAATTGCTATAAGTGCTACTGTTTGGTTAGATTTAGCCCTTCTAGTTCCTCTTTTTTAGAATTGTCTAGACTAAGTTTAGACCTTTGCTTTTCTATATGAATTTAAAGGATTTATTCTATTTCTTTAATAATAGGGGTAGGGTATATGTGGCCCATGGAGGCCAGAAGAGGGTACCGGATCCCCTGGAGCTGGAGTTATAGGTAGCTTAGAGTCACCTGATATGGGTGCTGGGAACTAAACTCAGGTCCTCTGGGAGAGCAGGAAGTGAAGCACTGTTAACCACTGATCCATCCCTCTAGCCCCTCTATATGAATTTTAATGTCTTTTTGTCATGTTCTATTTTTTTAATCATCTTGGAATCTGGACTCAAGTTGCATTAAATCTCTGAATTAATTTAAAGAAAACTAAGTAAGATTTATTATCTTAGGCCTTTTCATCCATGAAAAAAGGGACATTTTTCCAATTATTAAGGGTTTAAAGAAAACTTTCTAGAAATGTTTTAAATTTTTTCCATAAAAATTTTTGTAGCCTCCTGTATATCACAGGATACCATCATTTGAGTGAAGAGACAACCTAAGAATGAGAAAATATCTTTACCAGCTATACCTCTGACAGAGGTAGTAGCTAGACTATATAAAGAACTCAAATAACTGAACGTCAAAAAAACCAAACAACCCAATTAAAACGTTGGGCAAGGAGCTGAACAGGTACTTATCTAAAGATGAAACACTGAGAAAGTTTCTCTAAAGATGAAATGGCTGAGAAATACTTTTAAAATGATCAACAGCTTTAGTAATCAGGAAAATGAAGATTAAAACCACTTTGATACTTCATCTTACCCCTCTCAGAATGGCAAAGATTCAAAAACCAAACAACCACAAATGCTGGCGAGGATATGGAAAAAGGGGAACTCTGATCCACTGCTGGTGGGAGTGTAAACTGGTGCAGCCACTATGGAACTCAGTGTGGAGGTTCCTCAAGAAGGTCAAAATTGATCTACCATATGACCCAGCTACACCAGTCTTGGGCATATACCCCAAAGACTCTATACTCTACTATGGAAACAACTGTTCATCCATATTCATTGCTGCCCTTTTCATTGTAGCCAGACATTGGAAACAATCTAGATGTCTATCAACCGATGAATGGATAATAAAGGTGTCATACATATACACAATAAGACTATTATTCAGTTTAAAAAATGAAATTATGCCATTCACAGGTAAGTGGATGGAACCAGAAACATTCATCCTGAGTAAAGTAATCCAGACTCAAAAAGACAAATGTCACGTTTTCTCTCATAGCTGGATGTTCCAATTTGAAAATTCAGAGAACTTAAGAAACTAATAAACAGTCATGGAAGGCTTCCTAGAAGAGGTGGTCAAATGCAGTGATATGAGGGGGAAAGGAGAATATAAAACTAGGAAGGGTTAAATGGGTGGGGTGGGGAATGGGAAGGCAGGGCAGAGGAGAGTGTGGGGAGAGATAAGTAACACCTAAGGTCTTTAGAAAAAGCCATATGGAAACCTACCACGACAGAAGCTTCTTAAAAGTATATACATATACTGACTCTTAATGACTTATTGTTATATCCATAGATTAATGCATCTCTTAACTCTCACCAGAGAACTTTCCTTATGCAACAGATCATGATTAACACAGAAACTCACAACTGGCCAACGTGCAGAGAATAAGAAGCATCAGAGTGCTTATCCCTAAATAGGACACTTATCAAACTTCTGCCTCCCAAGGCTCAGGGCTCATTGTGGAAGAGGAGGGCAGAAAGAGTGTAAGGTGGTGGATGACCATAAAGAAAAAGAGTTTTCCAGACAGCTGGTCAGTTACTCATATGAACTCACAGCAATGATGACAGCATGCACAAGTCCCATTAGAACTCAAACCAGAAAAAAGTCTAGCATAGACATGAGGAGGTAAATAAGAAGCTCCAACCCCAACTAAGGAAATTGTGGCAACTGATGGTCGCTGGGAAGGGCAGAGTCTCTTTCATGCATGAGACTCTTGGTAGGTTAACCAGGGACCAATGGATGGGCCCACATTGAAAGACACAAGTTAGACTCTATAGGCGTGCACACACACACACACACACACACACACACACACAGAGTACATTAAATTAGATGGGAGGCAATAAGGGGAGGTGTGGATGGGGAAGAGATCTAAATACCATCAAATTATAGTGTATGAAAATCTCAAAAATTCAATTTAAAAAAGTAGTGTTGAAACAGAAAAGAAAAAAAAAGAACAACAAAAAAAATTTTTTCGTAGTTTTTGCTGTATTGATTCCCAGGTACTATACAGGTTTTCAATGCTTTTATGAATAGCATCATTATTTTTTTCTCTTTGGTTATTGACCATGTGTGCAAACATTATTGATTCTTACATACTAATTTTTCCTTCAGTCACCTTGCTGAACCTTTTCATTAGTTCTGAGAGTTTACAGTTATTCTTAGAATTTCCAAGTAGATAATCATGCTGCCCACACAATGACAACGTCTGTCTCTTTTCAAGCATTATTTCTTATTTTTCTAGTCATTGCACTGGCTGGGACCCTAACTACAATGTTGAATATTAGTTGTGGCAACATAAACCTCTGTTGTTCCTTACCTTAATTAAAGGCAATGCTTTTAAAGTTTTACTTCTAAGAATAATTGTGTATTATAGGCTTTAAAAAATATCTTTCATCAGGTAAGTTCCTTACAGGAACTTTTCTAAGACTTCAACATAAATAATTATAAAATTTTGCCAAATATATTTCTGGTAAAATTAAGATGATCGTAATCTTTTCCAACAATATTTTAAGGTGGTAAATTGTCCCAGTAGGTTTTCTAACATAGTCAGACATGGTGGCATATGCTTTTAATCCAGTACTTGGAGGCAGGAGCAGGGGGATCTCTGTGAGAGTGAGGCCAGTGAGTTCCAGGCCACCTGGGACTACAAGGAAACCCTGTCTCAAAAAAAACTAAAAAAAAAAAATTTCTGATGTCAATATAATCATGTGTTATAGAGATAGCATCTACTTTCCATGTATATGAAATATTAATAGTACTACATTTTATTTCCTGATGCTTTACAAAATATCCTTACTTAATGCATTGTTAGATTATATAGCTCTGTAAGTATATTAGATAATATTATATAATAGTATTTCATTCTACATATAATAAGATATTGATATAATTGTATTGTATTGTGGATAATGTCCATGTAACACATTGTATTAATCATAATTTCATTTTTAAAGACAGTCAAATCACTATATAAAACAACAAAATTTGTTTTATTATTCTTAGCTAAAAAAATCAAAATGATAGGGTTCAAACATAACGTAAGCCTCTTCAACTTTTTCTCATCACTGGGTCTATTTGACTGACTTTTAATTTGATATGATATGCTTGCCTATATGCTACACATAATCTAATTTTTCAGTTAATATAAGACAAAGATCAACTTTATCTACTGAGCTGTATTTATTCTCATCTGAAACCAATCACTTTTAATAAAACGACTTGCCAATTAAAGACATCACAAGAATTCAGAAAACCGTATCTAGCAAGGTCTCAGGAAAGAACCACACTGCCTCAAGTTTTGGTTCACATATCAAAAGAACACTCTAAAGCACAGAACATAACTAAATTCTAAACTATTAACAATTCTAAAATATAAATATGCGTTTGTTATTAAATCAACAGAACCATTACACTTTAGATTTTATTTTTATTATTTTTAGTGTATGAGTGTTTTGCCTGCATTTATATACGTGCACCACATATGCATGCAGTGCCTACAGAGGCCAGCAGAGAATAGTGGATCCCTTGGAACCAGAATTACAGGTGGCTGTGTGCTGCCATATGGGTGCTGGGAACTGAACCTGGGTCCTCAGCAAGAGCAGTAAGTCTTCTTAACCTCTGAGCCATCTCTTTAGCCCCACCCCCTTACAATTCTAAATTTATCAATTTGATAATAGCTTTTATTCATTATTCTCAAGGTTCCAATAATTCCCCCAAACCTTCTAAATTCACTTGTTAGACTCCTCTGTTCAAACACACATATTCTCTACATGTGAAGAATATTTTCCACACATATGAAAATGTGAAATTTGGAATGATCTACAATCTGAAACTATTTTGAGCAATGATGTGATACCGCAATGAAAAATTCCACAGCTGACCTCCTAAGAAATAGTACAGTCAAGCCACAGGTCTACCAGATACTGTATAAAATGATCTTCAGTCTATGTGCATAATAAGGTGCATGTAAAACACAAATGAATTCTGTGTTTAGACTTGAGTCTCATTCCCAAGATACCTCATTATGTTTACTCGTATTCCAAAAACCAGGAATGTCCAAAATATAAAACACTTCTGGTTCCAAGCATTTCAGATAAGGACTACATAATCTGTATTCATTAAATCTGATATTCATTTACTATCACCAGATTACAGTTCATCTGCTTCCTACTAGTTCCAATAAAGTTCTTTATGGCTATGGGTATGCATATTCATGCACATGCTTATCTTCACCAAGGATCTAATTGAAATTCACATGGTGCACCTGTCATGTTGGTTCTAAAATCTACAAAAGTCCTTTGATGACTTCCACAGTTTTGAAGAATCCAGACCAGTTGTCTTTAAAAGGGCCCACAACATTACTTCTCATGCTTGGATTCAAGTTTAATATTTTCAAGAAAACTGAAGTAATCTCTGACCCTTCCCATTCCTCTGCATTAAGAGGTGATATTGAGGCTGATAGGATGACTCAATGGGTACAGCACGTTACACAAACATGAGGACCTGAGTTTGGATCCCCAACACCCATGTAAAAAGCTAAGTGTGGCTGCACATGCCTGTAACCCCAACACTGAGGGGCATGGAGACAAAAGGACCACTAGGGCTCCTGGCTAGCCAGTCTAGCCAAAGAACAGCAAGCTCCAGATTCGCCAAGAGACCCTGTCTCAAGAGAGTAAGACAGAGAAGCGACACAGAAGGATACCCAACATCCTCCTCTGGCCTCTGAATGCATGCACATTTGCACACATATATGCACACATGCATACAATACACACAATTAATGAATACATACATATATACATAAATGAAGTGGTGATAACAAGTATCATTTGGTTAAATATATCTATAATTTTTTTATTGTTAAAAAATATTTTTGTCTCTGTAAATAACAGAAATCCATAAAATTTAGTATGTTCAAACTATGTAAATCTGGTTCCTCACACTTGATGGTTTCAATAGAGTTGATAGTTGTCTGAATTGACTATTAAAAAAGAGCTTTAACAGCTCTGAATAGTTGTAGAATTCTGACCAACATTTGCTGTTCTTATATCCCTCTGGTTCTGTTATCTGAAAACAAATAATAAGTAGTTAGTGCCAGTACATACCTAGCTTCATCAGGGTGAGTAACCCGCACAGAGTCATTGGGGATATAAATCATATTTGTATCTTCAATCTTATATATCGCATGACCTCCAATATCTGCCATCTTCCTCTGTTTAGTTATTAAAACAATATAGTAGCCTTCTAGAAACCTGACAAAACCTGTGCGAAACAAACAAAAACAAATACAGTGTCACATAAACAAGTAACATAAATGTTTTCAGATACATTTTTAAAAGGCCAAAGATTTGATGTATTTTCTATTTTAATAGTTCTGTTATTTTACAGTCACACAAAGTCTTGGCATTTATATAACCTAAAAATATTACTCTAGGGGCTGAAGTTGTGGCTCTGTTTGTAGAGTGCTTGTCTAGCATGTACAAAGCTCCGGGTTCAATTAGCAGCACCACATAATACCAGGTGTGATGGCATGCAAGCACTTGTAATCCCAGCAGTTGGATTGGAGACAGGAGGATCAGAAGTTCCAGGTCATCCTTATTCATATACGTTCAAGGACAGCCTAGGCTACAGGAGATCCTGTCTAAAACATGTATCTCTATCTATACCAATATTATAGATACATATATATATATATATAACTCTAAACAATTTTGTTTTATTTATTAATTCCTTTCAGTTTCATTCTAAATATAACTGAGGCACTTTAAGTAAAATTATACATAAGATTACGGAGAATGATTCAAGGGTACAGACTTTCAATTCTGCATAAGAATCTTCTAGAGGTCTGCTATACAATAAGATGCAAGTAATACACTGAGCTGTACACTTAAACATGAGTAATATTTTATGCTTTATGCTGCAATTTGACTTGTAAACACCGACACATACAGGGATATGCACATATCCACAAATAAGATACAGAAAAAATGAAAGAAGAAATTATAGTAAAGGAAAACAATGTCAAAAAACAATAGGGCTGGAGATGTAGTTCAGTGGTAAAGTGTTTGCTTAGCATGCACAAGGAACTATATTTGACCCCTAGAACTAAAAACAAGTGAGATGAATCCATAACACATAAAGACATACATTACAGTTCTTTGCCACTGTTGTTTCGGTAGCATTAAGTCCTCAGTACTCCAGTACCTTCTATATAGTCACCATGAAGAAAAAAACAAACACCTTTGGCTCCAGAACTTTTCCTTGGAAAGTTAAAACCAGCTTTCTTTAGTGGTGGAGAGCAAGGGGAGTGTTCTCAATGGCAATGGGGGAGTTTGGCAGGTTCATTCCCCAGTGAAACAATTATAACTGGCAAAATGAAACAGAGTGAAACACTAAAAGCTTCTGGAAAGTATAAAAGGCATAAATAGACAGACTGACTTACGGAAGACAATCTACTCAATCTGGGTAGGAATAGCAAGCCATATATCGGAGTCACAGCCTGTTTCCATGCTCTCCCAGTTCAGCCTGACAAGGGCAGCAAGACAGAGCTCCTTCCTCTCTCCCACTTCCCAGCCTGGCAGCAGTTTCTACTCAGGAGGGACGCAGGTTGCCACTGCTTCTTGAGTCCCATATCCTGTGTTGTAGATGCTCCAGTGGCAGGGCAGCAGCTGAGAGCTGGACCTATTCAGCCTCCACAGGAAGAGGCTCTACCCCAGGCATGACAAGCCAAGAATCCTGGGTCCCTGTGGCCCTCGCCTCTGCTCACTCTTACTGCAAAGCCATAGACGACTGACTTACAAGAAATAATGGAGTCCAAGGCAGGAGATGAGAAGAATGTTTTCAGATACATACTGAAGAAAACTCAATCAAAACATCAAAACAAGCCAGGTGTAGTAGCACACACCTTTAACCCCAGCACTTGGGAGGCAGAGGCAGGCAAATCACTGTGAGTTCAAGGCCAGCCTGGTCTACATAGTGAGTTCCAGGACAGCTGGAGCTACAGGGAGGCCGTGTCTCAAAAAGACAAAAAAAAAAAATCAAAACATCTCAGATCTAGTGCAACTATGTTCTCAAACTAACTTGCATTCTCCACTCCTCTTATATTCTACAGAGTCTAAAACAGGATCCTGCTGCTACAATTATTATTTTTTAACTCTAAAATTGACAAATACTTACTGCCTGTGTCCTGTTGTCCTGAAGCGCAAACAACAATGAATAAGAAATAAGTAAATATTATTAACATAAATTAACCAAAATTATAACAGAAAGATGCTTCAAGGATGTTATGAACCACACTATGAGAAAATGCTATGTGCTGGACAGCTTAAGCTGTCATCTTGGCATACCCAGGTGGAGAGAGCCTCGACTTAGAAATTCCTCCATTGGACTGGCCTATGGCTATGTCTGTGGGACATTTTCTTAACTGAATGATGTGGGGGACCCCAGGCCACTGTGGGCAGTGTCACCCCTCGGCAAGTGGTCTATGTTGTATAAGAAAGCAGGTCAGAGAACAAGCCAATAAGCAGCACTCCTCCATGATCTGTTCTTTGGTTCCTGCCCTGAGTTCCTGCCCTGTTTTCCCTCCAAGATGAACTGTAAGCTGAAGATGAAATAAACCCTTTATTTGCCAAGTTGGTTTTGGTCAGTGTTTTAACACAGCAATAGAAAATAAACTAAGAAAGAAGTTGGTGCCAAAATTGTGGGGTATTGCTGTGCAAGACCTGACCATTTTGTTTGGGGGAAGATTTCAGAAGCATTTGGAATTTTGGACTGGAAAAGTCAGAGTGCACAGAGCTTAGTGAGCTGTTGCTGTGGAGCTTGGAACAGTTACGCTAAAGAGAAATGTGGATGATGGAGGACTGGCTTTGTGACATTTTAAGGGAAGCAAAGACTACCAGGGCTGTTTGTGTGATATTCTGAACTGAGAATCTGTGGTTTCTGGTCAGCAGGGGCTGAAAAATCAACTGTGATTAACAAGAGACCAGCACCACTGAAGTGAAAGCATTACTCTACTGAGACAATTGATGCTTGGCTAGCTGAGGCTGTTTTTTTCAACTGTGGGTAACAAGAAACCAACATCATTGAGGCAAAATCTTCCAGGAAGTATTTCTTCAGTCAGCCCACAGAAGCTGTGGTCCAGAGGGGGCTTGAGGCTCCACCTCAAGCTGGAAGAAGGACTTAGTAATGTGTAAGAGTTACCCAGATGGTACTGGTGTTGAAGACGTGAAGGGGTTATGGAGAGAATCTGAGGCTTCATACCCTGAGAGGTCAAGAGAGGCCATTGGTGAAGGTGTAGCGTCAGTCGCAATGGAGACTCCAACATACTGGAGATGCCAGGACCACTGGAGATGCCAGATGACCACCAAGGGCAGCAGCAGCTGTGGAGTGGTGCCAACTTGAGACTATAAGACAAGCAGTGTGTGCGGCGGACGACAGAGACAGAGAAGTGGAGCTGCTCAAGCTCTTTGGAGCCCAGAAGATCATGAGTGAATCCCAGCTATCCAACATTGAGTTATAGTGCTGAACTTTGGTTTTACTGAAATGTACCTGGTTCTCATTTGAAATAAGACAGTATGTAACCTGTTTTGGGCTTTACAGGAGCCCACAGTTAAGAGGCTATTAAAAGAGACTTTCAGGGGCTGGAGAGATGGCTTAGCAGTTAGGAGCACTGACTGCTCTTGCAGAGGACCCGGGTTTGAGTCCCAGCACCCAAACGGTGGTTAACAACCATCTGTAGCTCCAGTTCCAGGAGATGATGCCTTCTTCTGACCTCTGCAGGCATTGCACAACATGGGTGCACTTATACACATACAGGCAATACACTCATATACATAAAATAAAAATAAAATTTTTTAAAAAATAAAAGAGACTGAATTTTTAAAGTATTTGAATTCTTTTAAAGACAATGGGTCTTTTAAAGTTTTACTGTTTTATATTGTGATATTAATATTAATATCATATCTTGGGGAAAAGAAATGGAAAGTTTGTAGTTTAGTAGTGATATGTCTGTCAAGTTCACAAAGGGCTAAATCATGCTGTATAGTGTCAGTTGTCAACTTCCCACACCTGGGTGGAGGGACCCTCATTTGAGGAATAGCACAATTGGATTGGCCTGTGGATCATTTAATTTTCTTGATTAAGTGATATGGAAGGGCCCAGCCCACTGTGGGCAGCGCCACCCCTGGGCAGGTGGTCTTTGTGTTGTATAAGAAAGCAGGCTGAGCAAAGGCTAGAGAAGCAAACCAGTAAGCAGCATTCTTCCATGGTCTGTGCTCCAGGTTCCTGCCCTGAGCTCCTGCCCTGACTTCCCTCAGTGATAAACTGTGACCCAGGAAATATAAGATAAAATAAACTCTTTCCTCTCCAAGTTGGCTTTGTTCAGTGTTTTTATCACAGCAATAGAGAAGCAACTAAGACGTGCTACTAAAGCAGTGTTTTAAAACCTTAGATTTTAGAGATCAACAAAGTTCTTTTTAAAAACTGTGCACAGCCGGCTGTGGTGGCGCACACCTGTAGGCCTAGCACTTGGGAGGCAGAGGCAGGTGGATCTCTGTGTGTTCGAGGCCAACCTGGTCTACATAGTTCCAGGTCAGCTGGGGCTACAGGGAGACCCTGTCTCAAAACAAAACAAAACAAAACAAAACAAAACAACTGTTCACTTGAGATCCTTCCTCTATTAGAGAATAGCCAAAAATTCCCTTAAATAATGCCAAAGGACACAGGACTGTGAATGAAGGCAAAAGCAAAAGTGTAACATTATGGTCCAGTTCATAAAATGCTTCACACAAACATGACCTTCAGATCACTGCAGCACCCACAAAAAAATGGGTGCATGCATGAACGGAAGGAAACAGAGGCTTTCAGGTCACTGGGAACTTGCTCATATGAACTTGGAACAATGGCGACAGCACGTGCGAGACCCATGCCAACTAAATCAGACAAAAACGCAACAGAGAATAAGGGAAATGGGCAGCAGGCCCCAACCCTAGCCTAGAAACTATTGGCAACTGATTACTGCTGAGGGAGGGAGAGTAGCTCTTTAAGGGAGAGACTCTAGATCAGCTTATCAGATTCCAGTGGATGAACTTGCACCGAAGGATATCTGAATACAAATGCTTGACCAGAAAGGACTTAACATATATGACAGAATGCATGAAATCTAGTCTAAGAGGGGTCTGGAGGGCTGCAGATGGGAGAGGTGGGGTCTAAATTTGATTAAGATCTACTATATGAAATGCAGAAAAACTCAGTTAAAAAAAATT